CCTCAAGCCTGCTCGCCAGATACCTCGCGCAAAACTCCTCCAGCCGCTGAACTGACAAGTCCCACGCCGCGTGGATGACATCATAGACGTTGATCGGTTCCTGCTCTACCTTTTCCTTTGTTGTCGATCCATCATCGTGGTGGTGCGTGCGGTCGACCAAAGCGTTGGTGTTGCCTGATCCGAGGGTTGAAATCGTGACCGCGGCCTTTGACTTGAGTGCGTCGAGCAGAAGCATGTCGGAGGCGTAAAGGAGATCGAGGGCATGCTCGAGGGGGCAGGTGGAGACTTCGGTGTAGAGGTAGGAGAGGATTACTTCTAGGACTGGGGGGGTGCAGTCGATGTGGATGATGTGGAGGTGGGAGGAGGGTTGAGACTCCAGAAAGGGGGAGGCGAACATTGTTGCGAAGTAGGGGGAGCGGATCAGGAAGGGTTTGTGGACTGGGTAGAGGGTTGAGCGCCGGGGTTTCTTTGGGGTTTTGGTGGATGGTTTGGAAGAGCCGGCTGGGCCGATGGGGATGCCGCCTCCGTTTGGAGTTGGGGGGTGAGATTCATCATCATCATCATCTTCTTCTTCTTCTTCTGGGGTGTCATCCTCTGGGAGCTCCTCATCGGCTTGAAGGAATACATTGGCAAAGATGGCGTTGTGCTGGGGCCATTTTACCTGGCCGGCTTTGCGAGTGTCTACTTCGATTTTGTGTTTTAGAACTGTGTCCCGGAAGAAGGCCGAGATCTGATCTTGTGCGCGGGCGACTTCGTCTTGCTGGCGTTGGCGGGCTAGTCGGCGGTCATTGGAGAGGACGGCTTCCCAGAGCTTGTCGATTTCCAGTTGCTTGCAGAGCTTGTCGATGCCTTTGAAGACCTCTTCCTCAGTGACGGTGCTTCGTGGGGTGACGAAATCTCGGGGGAGGTCACCCAAGTAAAGATAGCGAAGGACTATCCGGAAGGCCTCAACAGGAACGTTGTGAGACAGTTTCCAGGTGGTAGTGTCGGGCGCTTCCGCAAACTTTCTCTTGAAATATGGTGACCTCGCTGACAGGATGAACTTGTGCAGGTGAAAGTCCTCGTTGGGTGCTGACAGGGTAATGTCTGATGTTGGTGGAATCTCACGAGACAGCAGAGATGTGATATGGGTCGACCAGTACTGCAACGGATCCGCTGTCTTGGTGTAATCATATGAAAGCAGCAAATTCCGAATCTTGTTGTTCAAGGCGTTGTATACAGCTCTTTCTCTCTCAAACGAGTCTGGGTCGGCCAGGGCCCCTGAATGATGTCAGTATTTCGACTAATGAGCTTGTTGACTGAGATGTTGACGCACCGCTTTCCAACAACAGCTGAACCAGTTCATAATGACCACAGAGACTGGCCTTTACAAGTCAGTTGTATGTAAGATGGGAGGGAATGCATGATGTGTTTGGGGTTGGGACACCAAGGAAGAAAGAATGATGACTTACAATGATGAGCGGGGTATAATCGTAAGCGTCTTTGCCGTTGATGTTAACGCCCTCAGAGATCAGTTCCTGACACCGCTTCAAATCACCGCGGCGACATGCCATCAAAAAATCGTGGAATTCTGGCGATGTGTCGAAGGGGTGCTCATTTCGCAAGACTCCAGTCTGAATAAGCTGGTTGTCGTCTTTGAGCTTAGCCTCAAGCTCGAACTTTCGGAGCACCATGGTCTATCTATCTTTTCTGTACAGTTTATATGCGAGGGGATTCTATGAGAAGAAAACGATGCTCTAAACCACCATGTAAAAAAGATCACAAAAATACCATTCAAATGGTGAGAGGCGATGTTGGTCACTGGTGGTGGCGGGCGCCTTCAGATTCATGCACGAGCCAAGCCAATCCATCTCCATCTGTTCCCAATCACGGCCCCCGGCATTTGGTGATGCCGTTGAGATCCCGCAGTGCCTGCCCCGCACCCCTCCGGCCAAGAGAGGGCGAAGCCTTATCGATAGGCCGGGTTACCTAAGGCGCTTGTTGAAAGCCCCGCCATCCAATGGCGTGGCACGCTCCCCTTGGTCGTTAAACCCCTGACGTTTTTTATGGGGGATGGTGCATCTGGCTGTCCAAATTGGGTAGCCGCTGCCTAGGCAACCGCTGGGGTCTGTTGACTCTTGGACTCTGAACCCGACCAGCCAGCGCAACGCACATCTTCGAACTCGCTCCTTTTTGTGCAGCCAGCCATTGCCACCCCATTCTTCGACAACCACCCGCCCAACGACAGAAAACGAATTTACTAACCCCCCCCCTCTCCAACAGCAGCAGCAGAAAGCAAAAGGGCACCCTGAGTGCCTGATCTGTTCTGTTTTTTTTTTAATCGCAAATCATCTCTTGTTAATCGATCCGGCGCATGGAGCGAGGGAATTTCTAATTCGACAATTGCTCTGCGAGTTGCTGTCCCGGAATCCAGAATCCAAAAAAATAAATAAAAAAAGCCAAAATGTCGGAAAGCGACAAATATGAAGTTCTTGAAAAGATTGGTACGTCCTTCCCTGTCGCTTTTGCTCTGTTCGTCGTCCTCCGTTTTCTTCTGTCTGACACCCGCAAACAGGCCATGGCTCGTTTGGCGTCATCCGACGAGTACGCCGCAAGCAGGACGGCATGATCCTCTGCCGGAAAGAGATCAGCTACCTCAAAATGTCCCAAAAGGAGCGCGAACAGTTACACGCCGAGTTCCAGATCCTCTCGACGCTGCGCCATCCCAACATTGTCGGCTACTACCACCGCGAACACCTCAAGGCGACCCAAGATTTGCACCTGTACATGGAATACTGCGGGAATGGAGATCTCGGTCGGGTCATCAAGGAGTTGCAACAAAAGAACCAGTATGCTGAGGAGTCGTTTGTGTGGAGCATCTTCTCGCAGCTCGTTTCGGCCCTCTACCGCTGCCACTACGGCGTCGACCCACCAGAAGTTGGTAAGACCGTGTTGGGTTTGGGAACGACAGCGAGGCCTAAGGCGCCGTCGGGTGGCACCATCATTCTTCATCGTGATTTGAAGCCAGAGAATGGTAAGTTTTTGGTAAAAGTGCCTTGTCCATAAGGTGTCGTCACTAACCTTTCCAGTCTTCCTCGGCGAGGACAACTCGGTCAAACTCGGCGACTTTGGCCTCTCCAAAGTGATGGCCTCCCACGACTTCGCCTCCACCTACGTCGGAACCCCCTTTTACATGTCCCCCGAAATCTGCGCCGCCGAGAAATACACACTGAAATCCGACATTTGGTCATTGGGATGCATCATCTACGAACTCTGCACTAGGGAACCACCGTTCAACGCCAAGACGCACTTTCAGCTCGTCCAGAAGATCAAGGAGGGGAAGATTGCGCCGCTTCCGGCCTGTTATTCGTCGGAGCTTTTCGCGGTGATCAAGGACTGCCTCCGGGTGAATCCGGATAGGAGACCGGACACGGCGGCATTGTTGAACCTCCCGGTGGTTAGGTTGATGAGAAAGGAAAAGGAGGTGGTCGAGTTCAGCAAGACGCTCAAGGCCAAGGAGGACTCGCTCAACAGGCGGATTCGGGAGGTGGACCAGAAGTTGGCCTTGTTGGATCATGACAAGGTGGCGATCAGGCAGGAGATCGACGCTTCCCTGAGGAGGGAAATGGGAAGTCAAGGCGAGGTTGGAGATTGACCGGCTGGTAGGGTTGGAGATTGAGAGGCTCAAGAAGGAGTTTGAGAGGGAAGTCGAGGCCAGGGCGGAAGCCAAGGTTGAGGCCCGCCTCGAAGTCGAACTCCAACGACGAAAGCAGCTCGAGGAAAAGGAACAGCACCGCCCTGCGGAGCTCTCTTCTTCCAAGGACTCATATCAGCACTCGTCGATTTCCTCTATCAGCCCGACAGAGGACGAGTTCCCCTCGACGACCGATATCACCGAGCCTGAATCGCCGGCCGATACCTCCATGACGCAACCGTCCTTCAAGACGGCGCGCACTCCCTTTGGGAGAGCCCAGACCATGTTTGTGATGGCGCCGCCGGTTGGCACACCAATGGATGTTGATGCCAGTCCTGTCGCTATTGCCCACTTGTCTCTTTCTCCCCGAAGGAAAATCGAGACCAAGGCTCCACACAACCCATCGAATATCTTTGCTGCTGCGGCGGCTAACACGCAAGCTTCGGGCGACAGGCCTCCGTCACCGGTAAACTATGGGAGTGACTCGGATGATGAGGATATGCCCAGCCCGACGAGGAATATCAAGGCCTCGAGCAAGAACCCCTTTACCAGCAAGGGGAGGCCGCAGTTGCATGCGCAAAAGAGTATGCCTGTGCATAGGCTGCAAAGCAAGCAGACGACTACCTTGCAAAGCAAGACTGTTGGGGCGGTGGCGAGCAACCCTGACTTTGGAACTGGGGGGTTGACGCTCAGGCAGGCGGGGAGCAATGGTGCTCTTGGACAACAGCAGCAGCAACAAGGAAACAGCCCCGGGTTGAGGAGGTTGAGCAAGATTCCTAGTGCGGCGGGGTTAAACAAGAATCTCTCTGACGCCAAGAAGGAAGGGGAGCTGCATACAACGGTCAGTATGACGGGTCTTAACAAGATTTCTGGCGGGATGAGGTCAAATATCCAGGGTAGGACACTGGTTGAGCTTCAGCAGGCTAGGGCTGGGGGTAGGCCGTTGAGCGGGATCATGACTGGGGAGGGGTTCAGCAGCGGGTTGAATGCGAACACGGGGGGGATGGGAGGGGGAGGGAGTCCGGTGAGGGCGTTTAGGGAGCATGCTGCTGCTGCTAATAGGGGGTTGGGCGCTGAGCCGGCAGCTGTGTGGAATCCGGAGACGGACGAGATGCCGAGTCCGTTTTTGGTGAGGAGGAAGCCGATTGTCAAGGCTTAGAAGGCTTTTGACAGAAGGGCGACTGACAATTGTCCGGCGGCGGGGGGCAAGCATGGCGGCAAGGCCGATGGGTATTTCCCGCCGGTGTTGAATGCGGGGGTGGGGAGGTTGGTGGAAATGGGGATGGAATGGAGGATTAATTCCTGAGAGTGGGTAGATGTGTGGGTGTTGGTTATGTATATTCCGAG